TACCCACGAATCAAATGCAAGCAAAACGCAGGGAAATTACCCATGAGTGTTCAACGAGACCCTGATGATCTCCGACGGATCCTGAGTAAGCTTCAGCACGATCTTCATCCTCTGCTCCTCGGTGCACACGTCGAGCAGCTTCTGAACCAGGTAATTCCCAAACGGGTTCATCATCAGATCCGCCACGTGCCCGATGATCCCGTTGAAGATCCGGTCAACGTCCTGCCTCCTCCCCTCCTCAACTTCTCTGCAGCAAGCCTGCACCCGCGCCTGGGCCTTGCGGGGCAGTGTAGACATATCAGCCCGGATTCGACCAGGTTTCGAAGCATTGACGAGCCGGGCCCGACCGGTCGAGCCTCTTCTGACCCGCGCCCTCGTGGCCCGGCCGCCGTCGAGGATGAAGGTGGGGTCGTTCGGGCTTGTACAAGCGGCGGGCTTGGCCCGTGAGCGGGGACAGTCTTGGGCCCGCCGGAGGTAAGGGTAATGTAGGGTAGCGCTGAGTCGGGTTCGGTTCGGTTTCGGTTCACGGGTAGAGTTGAGTTAGTTGGTCGGAGCGGGCGAGAGTTGAAGGGCGTTAACCTCCCCGGTTTCGCTGAATGGACGACATGGCGACGATACGAGAAATCGACGTCGAGCGTGACTGCACGACGGGTCGGGGATGGTGGGCGTGGATGGGCTGATGGAGAACGGGGGTAAACCGTCAGGTGATGTTGATAGGCGAGGGGGGTTGACGCGGCGATTGGATTTCGCTGAAGTCAAGTCCATCTCCTCTTCCGTGGCTTCTCAGCTTATGGGTTTTTCTCTACTTTATATTATTTTTCCTTTTTTCGTAATTTTTTTGGGGCAAAAAAAAAATGAGAGAGAGAAGAGAGATTTTACATACAATGGGTTTTTTGGGGTGAGAAGATGGGGGAGTGGAGAGGGGAGGAAGACGAAGGGGGAGGGATGGCTATTTATAGTCTGTGGGTTTATGGGCTTTTTTCTACTATTTATTTATTTATTTTGTTTTTTTGTTATTTTTGGTATTTGTTGAGATAAAAAGGGAGGTGTTGAGATATTGCGGGATTTTTTTTATCAGTGAGATTACCGGCGCGTGGGTGGATTAATCTTACGCTTTACAAGGGTTTAGGCCGTTTAGGTGGCTCTTATTGTTATTGTCGTTAATCATTAAAAACCCTAGGTAAATTTGTATTTGCATGTAAAAGAAGGGAAAGGGAGGGGATAGATCATAAGAGCTGAATCTTGTAGAGCCAAGAATTGGATTGGATATGGTTTTGAATCTTACTCTTATGATAATACCGCCTTCTATAGTTTGGCGTATGCGCGTGAAGGAATTTGTTTAGAGTACAAAGTTTACATAAATATTGTATTGATCTATAGTTTGGCGTATGCGCGTGAAGGAATTTGTTTAGAGTACAAAGTTTACATAAATATTGTATTGACTTGTTAGATGATGATCATTACTAAAGGTCAAATGTATAAAAATTTTCCCCCTTTTTTCAGAAAGTGCTCTTCTTATCGCGTTGGCAAATACATGGGTGTTTACTACTCGCCCAATGCGTGCTAGCTAGAATATGCTTCAACATTGTAAAATGCCCAAAAAAGAACCATAACTGATCGGGGAGATTTGCAAAATGAAAAATCTAAGGGGATATATGTAAGAACCACAATTAAGATCCTCAAAATCTCAACCGGTGACTTTAACAACTTGATATTATATCCTTCTACTCTTATAAAAATATTTATCCTTTTATACCACACATATCTATATCTCAACAATTTCTTTTGTTTTCCATATTGAATTCTTAGAAAGGGGGGAAAAAGAATAAAAGATTTAGTCAAAATATCACCTTTTTAATATGTCCAATATTTAGAAGATGAAAGGATTTGTCTCTAATTAGGGTACAGTTATATTTACCTAGTCGTTTCCTATTTGTTCTCCGTGAGTTTGGGTTTTAGATTAATTCCTCTTGGACTCATTTTACTCAGTCCCCTCTTTGACTAAGATTTAACATAATCTTCATCATCGTAATTAAATAAATCATTAATTAGCCTTTAATTTGACATAAACGCTTCATACTCATCCCTTCAAGAGCACTTTTGTCTACCCATTTTTATACAGTATTTGCAAACAGGCCCAGATGTCGCGCTTTTACTCTATTCATGGGCTGTGTGGAGCCAGGAACGTGGGGGGCCCGCACTAAGAATGGGCCCACTAAGAGTGTGATGTCCACTGATCAATAAATTCCGTGATTGCTCGAGTCCGAGGTTGGCAACGATAACATAACCGTCTAAAAATGGAAAGGGGTCGCAGTGGTGGGTCCTAAGTACGTGTTGTCTTCATGTATTCTTCTAATGTTTGGTTGTTGGATTTAATAAAGGGCAAATTTCAAAAAATCTCATGTAAGTTTAGACATTTCTCACATGGAACCTCTTTGGTTAACTTTCAAAACGTCACAAAACCTTCTTAAATTTTATTTGTAAACCTCCTAACTAATTTTTAGGATATAAAATTATAAACCCTCAACATTAATTACAACTTTGAGATTTTTGTGGAGGGATAGGGACTTTAAGATGGTATTGGAGCGATATGTTCGAATTATGTTGGCCACGAACTTCTAAGCGGTTTAAAAAGAAAAAAAAAATTGATACTATTGTGCCGCTCTAGGTTTCTCCCCTAAACACAGCCCTCAAAATGCAATAACGTGTTAGAATATAAAAGTATAATCCGCTATAATTTCAAAATTTTGGTGTCTCGTTAAAGGCTTTAATGACTTTACTTCCAACTTACATTCTAACTTAAAGGAGAGTTTCCCTTTGGCTTGAAGTATGGATGTTCTAAGATAACCCCTTTTAACTTTCAAAATTTCACAAAATTCCAATTATGTTTTGTCATAAGGAATTTGTTAACAAGTGTCTAAGGACCACTAATTCCCTCTCTTCTTCCAAACCTCTACCTCTCATGCTTAACTAATGCTCCAGGAGCACTTAATAACAAAATCCTCGTCAGGAAAACCCTCAAACAAATGTTGTTAAGGGTTTTTTTTATAATGTTTAAATTGAAGGGTACTTCCCAAAACTTAAAGTGGTTTTGCGACATTTTGAAAATTAAATGGGGTTATTGAAAATTGCCCAAACTTAAGAGTGGTTTTATAAAATTAACCCTTTATGAAATTTTGTGCTTGGTAGTGATGTGTCACATCCTCATCCACTTACTACTCATGTGAATGTGGTCCCATATTTGAATGAGTGGAAGGGGATGTGACACATCACTACCAAGCATAACTTTTTGTGCTTGGTACCATGCATACCCATATTGCTCTCTCTCTCTCTCTCTCTCTCTATATATATATATATATATATATAT